TTGAATTTTAATATGATACTTGATTTAAAGGAGAATGAGAAAAAAACCCTCATCATCCCTCAGTAACCTCAATCATCTTCATGGAAGAGATGCAGATGTCACTTCTCCTCTCTTATTACCCTTTAAGTAGCTATGCTGCTTGTAATATGGAGAACTCTGCTACTCTAATTCCATTGCTTAACTACTAACCTCTACATCAGTACACAAGCAGTGTAAGGTTAGAAGACAAGAAACCAATAGGGTTTGTTTGTTTATTTTTATAGTGTTGAGATAATGTATTTTTTTTGGTCAGAAGTAGTCCTAATGAATAGGAATCTGGTATCTGAAGTACTGGATATAAGCACAGTAAGAAAAAGAATATAATGTTATTCATACAGATGAAATTTTCAGGTAAGTCTAAATATATTTTTACTTTAATTAAAGAAACCTTATCTGCATCTTCTTCCTTGGATTACGCTACAAACATTTTATTGGCGTTGTCAAACTCTTCAGTGAATCACCACTGCCCTCTCAAATTATTCATGTCAATCTAAGAAAGATGTGTCTTCCTGAAGACTGAAATGTCTCTTTGCCCAGTCTCTTTCTCCTGTGGCTTACTGTCCCACAGCTTAACAAGCTGAAGCAATCAAGCACATAACCAGCATATCTCCTTGGGCTGGGTTTGGAATTGGGTTCACTCTAAATTAGGCAGTATGTATGTGCCAGTACCATTCAAGAGATGCTTCAGGAGGCGGACACCTGTCCAAAATCTACCAGCCTGAGAATTATAATAGAGGGAAAGACATCCACTGCATCATGTGTATGTGCCTACAGCCATGAGAACATGGGCCAATACACATGAAAGCACACTTACCCTAGCCCTGCTGGACGCACACGCAAATATTTTCAAGTGTGAGTATCTGCATTTTGGCAGCAGTTTGAAACTTAAGACTCCAGTTCTGTTGCTGCAGTACAGAGAAAAGAAACAGAGAACTGTGAACAGGAAGGTATAAATGAGTGAAGAAAGAAACAATGCAACAGAGGACTTGAAACTGAATAGCAAAGGGGGGAATTCATGATGTACAGTATCTAAGGTTGAAGGTACGAAACTGAAGAGATTTATTGTCTGTTCTTTCATATCATACCTTGTAAAAAGCCTTTCGGTTTCATAATTATAACTTTCCCATGAGGCCTGTATGTGATCTGTTTCCCTGAAACTCAGTAAAACAAAGACCACAGATGGCTTTCTTTGATAAGTACAATAATTGGAGAATAAACTGCATAGTGCTAACTCATTAGTTCTGAGGTCTTCATATGGGTTCTGTAAAATATATATCTGGATACAAGTTTGTCTACATAGGATGTGTTTCAAAAATGAT